AGAGAATGGCTCATGCTCAGAGCCACAGCACACCTAGAGACCTCTCATCTGCCTACAGGGATCTTCAGAGTGTAGGCTTCATGACTGCTGTGTAAATAGTGTAGGCTTCATGACTGCTCTGCAAATGCTGGTTAAATTTGATAGAACATTCCAGTTTGTGATAACAATTGACACAACATCCAAAACTCATCACTATATCGTATTCATGGTGATTGGGTTTTTCTTTTGCTTTTTTTTTTTTTTTCAAATTTAGCATATTTATTTTTCTACTTATTTTTATTCTACAACTTCAGTATTATGGGTTTGACTCTTAGCAATTTCTTTTTTTTTTTTTTTTAATTTTTTATTGTGGGTTGTTCAAAACATTACAAATTTCTTGACATATCATATTCCACACTTTGATTCAAGTGGGTTATGAATTCCCACCTTCTTTTGCTTTTTTAAAAACAATCATAAAAGGTTTAACATGAAATCATACAAATAAAACTTGTATAAACAAATGCCCATTGAGTCATAAAAGCAAAGGACAAAGTAAAAACAAAACTAATTGGTGGCGACATGCAGTTGGACATACGTTGTGTCTTGTACGTTAAACAGTTGTCTTAGATCAACAGAAGACCAGTCTTTGGTGTGGTCCTCCAGGATGGATTTCTCCAGCATCCTCCTTTAGTAGGACTGGGAATTCTTGACAATTGCCAACCCTCAAGATGCCTTCAAGTGCTGGCTGACCACTAAGGTCTGCATATCCCATCCACGGTGCCTGCAGTTAGACCCAGTGTCGTCCTGTCTGCCACAGCTACTGTAATTCTGATCTTCATCTTGGGCACTGTGGAGTTTCTACATCCTTCATCCTATGATTACTAAACCCTTGGTCCCAGTGTGGCCCTGGATTGGGCCACCAGCTACGGCACCGCTTCTTCCTCTTTGTTCTTTTTTTTTTTTTTTTGGTGCTGGGGATTGAACCAAGAGTGTTGTGCATGTGAGGCAAGCACTCTACCAACTGAGCTATATCCCCAGCCGTCCCTCTTTGTTCTTGATGCCACCTGTGTACTTCTTCTTTTTTTAATATTTTTTTAATTGTAGATAGACACAGTATCTTTATTTTATTTATTTTTATGTGGTGCTGAGGATGGAACCCAATGCCTCATGCATGCAAGGCAACTCTACTAATGAGCTACAACCCCAGCCCCTGTGTACCTCTTTTATGTGCAACTTAATTTCACAGTTCCCACAACCAGTTTGATATCTGCTTTCACACATTTTCTTTACTGGTCTTCATCTGTAAATGTGTCAAAGCAAAATCCTCTTTTTCATTTGTTCTTATATCCACAGGAAGTTCAATGTTTTCAGTCTCTCCAAAGGCTCCAAAATATTCTTTTTGTTCTTCAGAAGTGTCTGGATCCACAAAAGCCTGCTAGGGCGTTTGTTTCCTTTTAAAGCTTTGTCCTTTTGAGGACTATCAATTTGCTTTCCAGATTTTAATTCCAAGACCTTATCAATGTTAGCATTTTTGAAAAGGACAAATCCAAATCCTCTTGATCATCCAGTGACTGCATCTGTTTTAATCGTGCACTACAACTTCCCCAAATAGAGAGACATAGTCAGATCCTTTTGCTTGTGTCCCAGCTGGAACCTCCAATATTTTACTGTTCAATCCTCTTATGCGGGCTAGTGTTATTATTCTGGCCCCCTCTGAATTCCTTTCTGTGGGTAAACTCTTCAGCTTCTCCAAGGTGTCGTTGCTGTGGGCACGGGGATCCGTCGGCAGGGGGCGCTGTGTGCACGGGGAGCTGTCGGTAGGGTGAGCTGTCGTTAGGGTCCGCTGTTGGGGTGCGGGTGGGGCTGTGTCCTGCCGGGCATTGTTAGTCCCAGCAATAGAATATGGTGCGTAGCTGGGTTGAAAATATAATTGTTTTGTTTGTTACTGAGGAATGAACCCACGGGTGGTCTGCCACTGAGCCATACCCCCAGCCCTTTTTATTTTGAGGTAAGGTCTTGCCATATCATCCAGGCTGGCCTTGAACTTGAGATCCTCCTACCTCATCCTTAGGAGGCACTGGGGTTACAGGTGCATACCATGCCCAGCTAAATTTTCCCATTTAAAAAATTTACTTTATAGCCGGGCACAGTGGCACATGCCTGTATTCCTAGAGACTGGGGAGGCTGAGGCAGGAGGATCTCAAGTTCAAGACTCAGCAACCTAGAGGAGGCCCTAAACAACTTAGTGATACCCTGTCTAATACAAATAGGGCTGGGATGTGGTTCAGTGTTTAAGCCCCTCTGGGTTTAATCCCCAGTACCCACTCCTCAACTTTTTTTAAACTTTATTGAGGTCTGATTATATATAATAAAATGAATACACTCATTTTTAGTGTATGGTTCACTGACTTTTGAAAAAGGTTTTGATTTATTCAGTTATCTTCCCAGAAAATTCCTAATGTTGTACAAGTGGAATCACACAATGTGTGTCTGTGTTGAGCAGTACATCCCTGTTGTATGCCCCAGTGGGTCACCCTTGTTGCTGAATGAAGTTTAGTTGTTCATGGAGGAAGGGCTCGGAGTGCTCTGTTGGAGGTGGAAGTCACATTGTTGGAGACCAGTGGCATGCATTTCTGTCAAGATGCAGAAGGTTGTCACCACCCACACTCCTTGTTGCCCCTCCTCTCCTGCCACCAGCACCTGTCTGTTCCAAAACAGCATCAACAGGATAGTAGAGTGGCTTCTTTGGTTAGTATGCTGTGTTTGCATGTTGAGTGGTGGCTCCAGTGTGGACCCACTGTACTGGTTTTTCTCTTCACTAGGGGAAGGGCGCTTATGCTGTTTCCAGATTCTGGTTATAAACACAGCCTCTTCCGATAGTTGCAGGTTTTGTATGAACATGTGTGTATCCATTCCTTCCACACCTGGAAGCGGGGTATGGGGTTGCATGTTATGTATGTCTGTCTTTGTGCTGGCCTTGTTTCTGAAGGGGTTGTCATTTTGCGTTCCGAATAGCATGGGATGGGAGCTGAATTGTTTCTGGTCCTTGATGATACTGGTATCACAGTTGTTTTGTTTTAACTATTCTGATAGGTACAGGGTATGGCATTTTGGTTTTGGTCTGTATTTCCCTAATGAGTAATGATATTGAGCTTATTTTTTTTGAGAGAGAGAATTTTTAATATTTGTTTTCTAGTTTTCGGCGGACACAACATCTTTGTTTGTATGTGGTGCTGAGGATCGAACCCGGGCCGCACGCATGCCAGGCGAGCGCGCTACGGCTTGAGCCACATCCCCAGCCCTGAGCTTATTTTTATGTGTCACCTCCATATCTTCTTTGGTGAAATAATTGTTCAAAAAAACTTTTTTTTTTTTTTCAGTACTAGGGATTGGATCCGGGAGTGTTCTACCTCTGAGCTATAGCCCCCACCCTTTTTATTTTGAGAGAGGGTCTCACTCAGTTGCCCAGGCTGGCCTCAAATTTGTGATGCCCCTGCCTCACCTCCTGAGTAGCTGGAATTATAGGTGTGTACCATCAAGCCCATCTTTACTCAAATATTTTGCCCACTGTAAAGTTGGGTTCTTTTTTTCTTTTTCTTTTTTTTAATATTCTTTTTTGTAGTTGGACACAATGCCTTTATTTTATTTACTTATTTTTATGTGGTGCTGAGGATCAAACCCAGTGCCTCTCATGTGCTAGGCGAGTGCTCTGTCACTGAACCACAACCCCAGCCCGGATTCTTTTTTTCTTACTGAGTTTTGAGAGATATTTAGGTATTCTGGGGACAATCCCTATTTCAGATGTGCATATGTTTTCATCCAGTTTATGGCTTATTTTCTCATTTTCTACGCAGTGTTTTTAGAAATGCAAAATATCATTTAAAAAAATTTGTAGTTGTAGATGGACACAATAACATTATTTATTTATCTATATGTGGTACTGAGGCCTGAACCCAATGCCTCACACATGCTATGCAAGCACTCTACCACTGAGCCACAACCCCAACCCCAGAAAAGCAAAATGTCTTAACTTTAATGAAGTCCAATTTTTGTTTTATGGATTGTGTTTTGGGTATATCTAAGAAGTCTTTGCCTAATCTAAGATTGCAAAATTTTTTTCCTATGATTTCTTTTAGAAGCTCTTATAATTTTAGATTTTACATCTAAGTCTATGAGTTAACTTTTTTCTTTCTTTCTTTTTTAATATTTACTTAGTTGTAGATGAACACACAGTATCTTTATTAATTTTTTTGTGGTGCTGAGGATTGAACTTAGTGCCTCATACATGCAATACAAGCACTTTACCACTGAGCTACAGTCTCAGTCCTCTTTCTTTTTTTGTGGTACTGGAGACTGAACTTGGGAGTATTCTGCCTCTGAGCTACACCCCCAGTCATTTTTAGATTATATTTTGAGACAGGGTCTCATTAAGTTGCTGAGGCTGACCTTGAACTTGCAGTCCTACTGCTTTAGTCACCCAAATTGCTGAGATTATAGGTGTGCACCACCATGCCTGGGACTTGAGTTAATTTTTGTATGTGGGGCAAGGTACAGGTTGAATAAGATTCTTCTCCTCCCTTCCCTCCCATTCCTCCATTTCTCCCTCTTCCTTTTTTGCACCAGAAGCAGAATTATTCCAGCACCATATGTTGAACATGATGTAATGATGTTATTATTCATTTTAGTTATTTAAATTCCATCAGGTTGATCACGCATGTCCATAGTCTAAACTATTCCAGAGGCTGAGGCAGGAAGATCTCAATTTCAAGGCCAGCCTAGACAAGTTAGAAAGACCTTGTCTCAAAATAAAAAATAAAAAGGACTGGGGATGTAGCTCAGTGGTAAAGCACCCCTGGGTTCAATTCTTAGTATGTAAATAAATAAATAAATTTGGAAATTCTCTGGGCATACTGTGGTTTTAAAACAAGAAAACCAGGGAGGGAGTTTAGTAAATATGGGTTGCTGATTTCATCATGTCCGGGGCTTGTCTGATTTTGTGTAATGCCATGCATTCTTTCAAGGTGTCAAGATTCTGCCCTCCAAGAAAATCTTGCCATGACTGGATAGGACCCCCAGATAAATATTCAAACCTTAGACCTGTTCACTTTTACATCCCTGAAAACGAATCACCGTTGGAACAAAAGCTGAGAGAATTAAGACAAGAAACGCAGGAATGGAATCAGCAATTCTGGGCAAACCAGAATTTGACTTTTAGTAAGGTAAGTACAGGTTTCAAATGAGAATAGAGATGATACAGTAGGCCACTGGAGGGTGCTGGGTCTTTCATGTCTGTTTAGTGTGTCTTAGTCCTGCCCCCTCCCATGCACTGTGTGTGTGTGTGTGTGTATGTGTGTGTGTAGACCTTTTTATTTTAAATTTTACTTTTTACAGTGCTAGGGATTGAATCCAGGGGTGTTCTACCTCTGAGCCACATCTCTAGCCCTTTTTATTTTATTTTATTTTATTTTTTTGAGACAGGGTCTCCCTAAGTTGCTGAGACTTGACTTGAACTTATCATCTTCCTGCCTCAGCCTCTCTAGTAGCTGGGATTATAGGCGTGGGCCACCACACCCAATGAGATTTCAAAATTCTTAACTGCTTACTCAGAAGTAAACTATATGAGAAAGAAGTATAAATATTCTAATTGAGAAGGAAAACATCTGAACTTCGTTTATCCATTTGGATGGACGAAGTCAAATGGAATCTATTCATCATGTTCTTTGGATTTATAAACAAGCTGCTTCCCAGAGTTTATTGAACATCTAGTTTTAAAATCCTGTTTCAAGCATGAAACTTTCAACCAAATTCAGGTGGTTTAAAACAGGCTTGAGGTGAGCCATTCCTCAGCAAACCCACGTCAGACTGCTTCAGAATGTGCTGTGGCCTTAGAGAAGTGGAGACGGAGGGGATTCTGACGGTGTCTTCTTTTAGGAAAAGGAGGAGTTCATTCATTCAAGACTGAAGGCCAAAGGTTTGGGCCTGTGCCCTGGATCAGGTCAGTACATCCATGCTTCTGGCTGATGTGGTGGTGGTATGAGCTAGTGGAAAGCTGGGTGTGGAGGGCAGCAGGGGAATCCATGGTAGGCCTCCCACCCACCTCTGCAGCCTCAGGGTCATCTCCTCCCTTCTGTTGCTCCCAAGGGCTTCTTTCCCTTCGTTGCCTCTTACCACTGGGAATTCCCTTCCAGACCATTGCTCCCTCTTCTCTCTCTTGGAGTACTGTGGCGCCCTCTCAGGGGACTTCCAGCCTGAGTTCCCAGGGCCTCTGCAACCCCTCCCAACTCCAGCTCTTCCTCCTGGATTCTTGAGTCAGTTCATAAGTGGGAAAGCGAAAGGAAGAGAAGCTGTTCCTTGCCCTTCCTCTGGTTTCCAGGTTTTCCTTTGGAGCATTTCTCAACATTTTTTGCTGCTTTCTGCCCTTGAAACATTGCTGAAGTTCAGATCCTTGTTAATTCTTTGCCTGTTGCAATAATTTCCTAGTTTTTTTGCCCAATGTCAAAGCTTCAAATCAGAGGCAAGGACACTTTTTCTGTAAAGACTAGACAGTGAATAGTTTACCTTTTGTGGGCTTTATGGGATATCCGCCGGAAATATTCCATGCTGCTGTTGAATGAAGTACTGTGTCCCAGTAAAACTTTATTCACACACACAGCGTATGGGAGTGAACAGGACTAAGACACCTAGAATTTAGCCTGTAAGTGTTTCCCTTTAAGTCCATTTTATGCACCACAAGCAGACTTTCCACCCAATGCAGGTATGACAGTTTCCTCCCAGTTTACGTTCCTGGTCTCTCTTCACCACAGCATGACAGCTCCATTTCTCTGAAGGAACCTGCCTAGCATGGCACCCTGTCCCTGCCTCTCTCACCTGTTTCCTGGCCTGTTGCCCCTAACCAGGCATTTTTTTGTGCCAGATTACCTCAGTTCCCTTTATCTACCAATACTACCATTTTCTTTTTGGCCAAAAAGTCTAGTGCTCAAAATAAGCTTTGACATTTTCTCTAGGTTTTGATATCAGGCCTTAATAACATTTCATACTGTTTTTTAAGTAGATGTCTACCGTCAAGACATTATGCTCTTGTCAGGCCCAGTGGCAAATACCTGTAATCCCAGAGGCTTGGGAGGCTGAAGCATAAGGATTGTGCGTTCAAAGTCAGCCTCAGCAACTTAGCGAGGCCTTAAACAACTTAGCGAGACCCTGTCACTAAAATATATATAGAAAAGGGCTGGGAGCCAGGTACGGTGGCCACACCTGCAATCTCAGAGGCTTGAGAGGCTGAGGCAGGAGGATCATGAGTTCAAAGTGAGACATTAAGCAACTCATTGAGAACCTGTCTCTAAATAAAATACAAAATAGGGCTGGGATGTGGCTCAGTGGTTGAGTGCCCCTGAGTTCAATCCCCAGTACCAAGGGGGAAAAAAAAAAGAGAGAGAGAGAGACATTATTCTCATGGAAAATCCAGAACCATTGACGCCAAAAGCCAAGTCTGTCCTTGGGCTGAAGTACCATTGCCTTCTTGTTTATCCCTAGTCTGGCCAGGATTCATGCAGAAGAATGTGCTGGGGGAGGCAGGGGCAACTTTTCTGTCTCTCTCTTTTGGGCAGTGCTGGGGATTGAACCCAGGCCTCCTCCATGCCTGCTGGGCAGGGTCTCCACCACTGAACTGCACCCCAGCCCAGCATGAGAAACCTGGCTTCCGCCTCACCTATCTCAGGTATACTGACAGGCCAGGTCTGGTGGGGCAGCAGCAGGAAAGGGTACTGTGCCCTGTCAATAACACAAGAATGGCAGCTCAGACTTAATGGGGGTCCTGGCTCTGAGGCACTATGCTAAGTCCTTGCATGTATCATCCACAAAGACCAAATGAAGGAGGTGCTGATGATTTTACCATTTTACAGTTGAGGAGCCTGAAGCTTACTGATGGCAGAATCCCCACCCAGATCCCACAGTGAAGAGGTAGAACCTAGATTCTGCCTGAAGGAGTCAGGTCTCCAGGGCCTGCTGGGTTTCAGCAGCCCTCAGTTCATCCCCTTTTCTGTGTTTTTGGTGTGTGAGTGTGTGTGGGGGGGTCTGTATCAGGTAGTAGCAGGCTGGCTCCTGCTGCAGAAGTGGGTTGGGAACTAGCTACTCTCCTAGCAGATGGGAGAGGTTATTTTCAGTCTTATTAATAGCACAGCATCCTATTGATGTTCTGCTAAATGTTGAAAGGCTGGCCTTAAGTGAGATTTTAAAATTAATTTGGTAACAAAACAACAGCATGTATCAGGGAGAGGGAGCATGAACCAAGCCATCCATTTTGGCAGCTGTTCAGTCGTGGGGAGGGAAGCTGCTTGTCAGAGGACAGGAAGTCCCAACGAGAGGGGTGGGTTGAGTACATTCAGCAACCCATTGGACATCATGGTGATTGCAATTAGTAGTGTACTGTTCCTAAAGGGTGTTGAGAGTAGATGTAGTGCTATTACCACAAAAACAACAGCTCTTTAGGGTGGTGTGTGTCAGCTAGTCATTCTGAAATGTATAATTAAAAGCGTAATGTTGATGAACTGAGGGTGCAGCTGGGTTGAAGAGCACCAAAAAAAAAAAAAAAAAGAATAGAGGGGGTCTGCTTGGCTCACGTTCTGCAGGTCCTAGCTCCAGATTGGGTGGACCTGTTGCTTCAGGCCTCTGTTTGTATGGTAGTGGCTGGAGCATGTGGCAGAGCACACTGCTCATTTCATACCCAGGAAACAGGAGTGAGAGGAAGTGGCCCTCAGTCCCCTCTGAGAGCATGCCCCTGTGACCCAATGACCTCCCATGGGCCCCACTTCCTAAAGGTTTCTCTGCCTCCTCTTGTGCCACTCTGAGGACCATGTCTTCAACACATGGCCTTTGGGGACATTCTAGAGCCAAACTGTAGCAATGTGGGAAGTGAAAACATCCTGTGTCCTTAGGACTCCTGTGATGTCTCCCGTGATGCTGCAGTAGGCTCAGCACCCAAGAGCTGGTGGAGCAGAGCCTCTGCCATGGCCTGTCTTTAGTGGAATCAGCAATGCTTGGATTCCTTCCTTTTTCCTTTTCATTTTTAAACTTTTGTCTCCTACTCTTTTACCCTTCTGTAAACTGGCTTCCCATGCCTCCCCCCACCCCGGTTTGTCTCCCTCACAGTCAGTGAAGCCAGCCTGAGGCTGGCCTTTCCCCAGGCAGACTTCCAGCTGCTGAGCCCTGTTAGCCAGGCAGAGGCGGACTTGTGTTGAATGAGCCGGGCTGCTGCCATGGAAACGCAGGATGGAGGCAGCCTGGGGGGCTGGGCAGACAAAGGGGTCAGTGTGCAGACATGTACAGTTAGCCATGAACAGTAGATGGGTGAGCACTAGTGGCAGAGATGACACGGCCCATTTGGACTTTTGAAAAAGCTGCACCAAGTTTTTGTTAGTAACAAAGTGATTGTGAGGAGAAAAAGTTGTCAGACTCCAAACTTTGTAGTGTATCTGAAACAACAAGGCATGGTTTTGTGTTTTCTGCATTCACAGGATGATTTTCCTGCTGAGAGACTGTGCTGGTGGAGTGAGCTTGATGGTTGGTGCAGCATGAAGTTCACATGAGGGTCTAGCTGCACATGTCACACACATGCCAGAAAGCAGGAGAGTAAAGGCCAGAACTGTCTCGCCAACATCTGTCTCACTGTGGGGAATATGCAAGTTTAGCGGGGTGTCCCTTGTAGAATTATCTTTAATTGCAAAGGGCAGAAAGTGTCTCTGAATCCAAAAATAGTGGGATAGATAGGGCTTGGGTGGCCCATCCACTCACTGCATGTTTACTGGATGACTAGCCATGGGGGAAACTCTTGGTCTTCTCCAGGTACAGAAAGCAAAATACGTTGACTTCCATTCTGTTGTCCCTAAATTAAATGTCACTGTAAGGTGGGCAGCACAGTGGGCGAGAGGGTTCCTTCTTGTTTCTTTTATCACTTATGTACTTGTTCTTCAGGAGCTGGGTTTTCTATCAGCTGATGTCTAAAGCACCCGGTCAGCGCCCCATCAGTGGTGATGGGATGGATTGCTTCCCCTCCCCCACTCCCACTTATGTTCAGTAACAAGCTGCAGTGCTGGCAGCTGTGGAGATGAGCCACTTGCAAAGATTCCTGGTACCCTTGCTTTCTACAGAGCATCTGCCTAGGGGTGTTGGCACTGAGGTGCCCACAGGCCTATCCTGAGAGCCCCTTGGGAGTCCTTGGGCATGGCAGTGCTGCTTAGTCTGCATTCAGTGTCCCTCCTGCCTCGCTGACCAGTGCCAGGTCTCAGAGCTGCCTATGAGGGTGTGCTTTTATGACCACATGCTGGAGATGAGGGAACGGCACAGGAAGTCATCGTTCAAGGCCACACAGCTTGTTGGGGACAGAGACTGGCTCTGTCTATCCAGTGGAACAGTTCCACTGTTGCTGCTGGGAGGAGCTGCTTTTCCCACCTCTTCAGTTCCTCATGTGGCCATGAAAGGCTAAGAGAGGCCTCAGAAGCTGACTTGGGGGCCACAATTCATTCTCTCTCTCTCTCTTTTGATAATGAGGATTGAATCCAGGGGCACTTAACCACTGAGCCACATTCCAGCTCTTTTTTATTTTCCATTTTGAGATAAGGTCTTGCTAAATTACTTAGGGTTTTGCTAAGTTGCTGAGGCTGGCCTCAAACTTGTGATCCTTGTGAGCTGCTGGGATTACAGGCATGTGCTACTACTGCACTCAACTATTGGGAGGCACACAGCTCTAAGGACCATGAAGGCCACCTCCCTCAAAGCTGCTGCTGCTGCTTGCCCTCATCCACCCTGTGCCTACCTCTGGACTCCGCTCTGGTACTCTTCAGCCTGGCACCACTGTCCCTCATTCAGAGCACCTCCTTGCACCTCCACCTGCCCTCCTTCCTGGCCTGGTCCTTGGCCTGGAGTGACCCCCTCTACCCTGCAGGGCCCTGTTCATCTTTCACACCAGCCCACAAGTCATCTTTCCTGTAAGCCTTTGTCACC